AGAAGAGAGAGAGACAGAGAGACAGAGACAGAACAGAGACAGAGACAGAGACAGAGAGACAGAGACAGAGACAGAGACAGAGACAGAGACAGAGACAGAGAGAGAGAGAGAGAGAGAGAGAGAGAGAGAGAGAGAGACGAGAGAGAGAGAGAGAGAAGAGAGAGAGAGAGAGGAGAGGAGACAGACAGAGACAGACAGAAAGAGAGAGAGAGAAGAGAGAAAGAGAAAGAGAAAGAGAAAGAGAGAGAGAGAGAGAGAGAGAAGACAGAGAAAACAGAAAGACAGAGAGAAAGAGAAAGAGAGAGAGAGAGAGGAGAATGAGAGAGAGAGAGAGAGAGAGAGAGAGAAGGGAGCAGGGATATTAAAGCAAATATATCAATATAAATATGAGGGCGAAGGAAGTTTTGAACCGCCCTTCTCGGAAAGACATGAAAGGAGCCAGAGCGGGCGTGGGTGAAAGGGCGTGGGGGTGGGCGTGGGGTGGTCGTGGGGGTGGGCGTGGGGAAAGGGGTGGGGCGGGGGGGAGGGTGGGCGTGGGGTGGCGTGGAGGGTGGGCGTGGGGGTGGGTGGGGGTGGGCGTGGGGTGGGGTGGGGGCGGGGTGGGGTGGGGGTGGGCGTGGAGGGTGGGCGTGGGGGGGAGAGGATGAGAAGGAGGAGGGAGGGAAGAAGAGGATAGGAAGAAGAGAAGGAGGGGAGGGAGAGAGAAGGGAAGAGAGGAAGGGGGAGAGAAGCGAAGGCAGATGAGGAAGAGGGATAGATTGGAGAGGAAAAGGTAGGGAGGGAAAGAGATGGGGAAAAAAGACGAGAGAGTGCGAGGGAGAGAAGGGAAAGAAAGCAAGAACAGAGAGAAAAAGATGGAGGAAAGAAGGATGAAAAGGAATGATAAAAAATAAGACAAAACAAAAATACGGAAGAAAATGAAAACGAAAAAAAAAGAAGATGAAAATAAATAATAAAGATAAAGAGAAAAAGAGAGAGAGTGAGAGAGAGAAAGACCAACACACAAAGGGGAACGGGGTAGGTGGGGGGGGGAGGGGAGGGAAAACCGGCGTTTACGTAAATATGCGAATGAGGGAGCGAACGAGTGAATAATGAATGAGCGGATGAATGTCTAGATAGAAGGAAGGAAAAAAAGAAAACAGTGAATAAATACTCATACAAGATCAGCATACACTAGGCTGTGCGTTGACTATGCTTACATGTGTACTTACATAAACTGATACAGGTGGAATCTAACGCCGATACTAACTCTGTATGTTTTACATGCATGTGCGTATACATATATGATTATATATATATATATATATGTGTGTGGTGTGTGTGTGTGTGTGTGTGTGTGTGTGTGTGTGTGCGTGGTGCGTGTGCGTGTGCGTGTGTGTGTGTGTGTGTGTGGTGGTGTGTGTGTGTGTGTGTGTGTGTGTGTGTGTGTGTGTGTGTGTGTGTGTGTGTGTGTGTGTGTGTGTGTGTGTGTGTGTGTGTGTTGTATGTGTGTGCGTGTCTGTATATAAGATATAATTAAAGAGAAGAAAGAAAAAAAGAGGAAAGAGATAAAAGAGAATAGCAGAAGAAAAGGAAATTCATTCCCGGCGGGAGATGGCGAGGAGCGAACGAAGACATGAGACATAAACGAATAAAAAGGAAAGAAAGACGAACAGAGAAGAAAGAGTAATAACGCAAATCCAGAAAGAAAAATAAGAAACGGGGGAGTGAGAGAAGAGAAAAAATCGGAGAGGAGGGTCGAGCGAAAGGGGATGAATTCAAACTAAAAATAAGAAAATGTAATAATCAAGAAAATGAAGAAAAAAAAATCACGAACGAGATTCAAATGATAAAAAAGAAAGGAAGGAAGTAATTAGGGAAATGAAGAATATTGACAAGGCATGTCAAAAAGACGAAAAAGAGAAAACAGATGAAAAACAAATACGAGAGATCACGAGAACGAAATGAAATGAAAAAGAAAATGAAGGAAACATAAAGGAAATAAAAATAAAGTACAACATAAACAAAACATAAAAAAAAAAAAACTGACCGAGGCTTATAGAAGAAAGATAAGAGAGAAAGAAAAAAAAGTAGAGACGGAGATTTCAAGAAGGAAAAGATAGACAAAGAAAAACTTCAAAAGCAGAGGTAGCGGTCAGGGAGAATCGCCCTGAGGAAGGAGGGAGAAGGAGCGGAAGAGAAGAAGTAGGAAGGGAAGGAGGAGAGGAAGAGAGGGGGAGGAGAAGGAGAGAGAAGAGAGAGAGAGAGAGAGAGAGAGAGAGAGAGAGAGAGAGAGAGAGAGAGAGAGAGAGAGAGAGAGAGAGAGAGAGAGAGAGAGAGAGAGAGAGAGAGAGAGAAGGAGAGAGAGCGGAAGAGGAGAAGTAGCATGGGAAAGAGGAGAGGAAGAGAAGGAGAAAGAAAGGAGAGAGAGGGGAAGGATGAAAGAGAGAGGGGAATGAGAGCGAGCGGAGGAGGAGAAGTAGGAAGGGAAAGTGGAGAGGAAGAGAGGGGGAAGAGAAGGAGAGAGAGAGAGGAAGAAGGAATGAAAGAGAGAGATGAGAGAGAGCGGAGGAAATGAGGGAAACGATATGGAGGGAGAGAAAAAAAAAGGGGGAGAAGGAGAGCAGGAAAGAAGAAGAGAGAGGGTGGAAGAAGAAAGGAAGAGGAGGAGAAGGAGAGAGAGAAAGAGGTGGAAGAAAAGAGAAAGGAAGAAAGTAAGAAATACACGCACACACACACACACACACACAATATATATACATATATACATACGTATATATATATATATATATATATATATATATATATATATATATATATATATATATATATATATATACATATCCAGTTCAATAATCCAATAGGTCGTAGGGGAACACATGGAACTCGTTGTAATAGATTTTTTTTTTTTTTTTTTTTTTTTTTTATTTATTTATTTTTTTTAATCGAGACGCCTCTCTATCTAGTTGGCCGCTGGCTCTGACTGAGCACATCCGGCCCTTGGCAGATTCTGTCTTCCTTGATGCAGCTTTACTGAGAAACCTTACTCACAGGTGAAAGGGGGAGCAGGTTTAGTCACCGAAGACTCGACCTTGGAACAGGTTGTGCCAGGTTACATGGCACTGGTAGCAGGGAAGGAGAGGAGGTGGGGAAGGGGGGAGAGGAGGGAGAGGAGGGAAGGGAGAGGAGAGGAGGTGGGAAAGAGAGGAGAGGAGGAGGGGAGGAGGGAAAGGGAGAGGAGAGAAAGGGGAGGGGAGAGAGAGGAGAGAGAGAGAGAAGAGAGAAGAGAAGAGAAGAGAGAAGAGAGAGAGAGAGAGAGAGAGAGAGAGAGCGAAAGAAAGACCGAAAGAAAGAGAGCGAGAGAGAAAAGAGAAGAGACAGAATCAGACCCACAGACAAACAAACAGAAACAAATAAACAGAGAGCAAACGAGAAAGAAACAAAAAACAAAGACAAAGAGACAAACCAACAATATTTTTGAGTCTGACTTCCCTCGTATGCAAGTTCTCTGCCATATGAACGACCTCATCTTCCGGCGGCGGAGGTCGAGATTTCGCTTCAAAGTCTGATGAAGAGAAACATCCATAATAAACCGATTGGAAAGCAGAATACACACGCAAAATCGCTAAAAAAAATGCGGGGAGAAATGGAAGCTGTGACGTCATTCGTTAAAAAGAAAGAAAGAAAAATAAAAACAAAACAAAAACGCGGTTTGTTTGTTTATTTGTTTGTTCGGATGATTGTTGGTTATCCCCTGTTTTTTTTTTCTTTTTCTTTTTCTTTTGTCCTCCTCGAAAACTGTATGCACTTTGGATTATCATCATCATTTGGCTATTATTATTACCAATAATCATTATTATTATTATTATTATTATTATTACTATTATTATTATTATTATTATTATTATTATTATCATTATTATTATATTATTATTATTATTATATGTTTATTATTATTATTGTTATTATTATTATTATTATCATTATCATTATTATAGTTAATATTAGCATTAGTATTATGAGCAACATTATCTTTATTATCACTATTATATATCATTTATTTCATCATTATTATAATTATCGTTATTACTTTCATTATTGTTATTTTCACCATTACTATTATTATTACTATTATTATTGTTATTATCATCATCATCATCATCATTATTATTTTCATCATTATCATTATTATTATTTGTTATGATGATGATGAATTTTATTTATTCATTTTGTTGTTATCAGTATTATCGTTAATATTATCATCATCATCATTATTATTATTATCTATTCATTTTATCATTGTTATCATCATTATTTACTGATTTTTATCAACATTATATAACTGTCTGGTGTTATTCATTTTTTGTGTGATAGAATTTTGTCTTTTCTTTTTTCTTTTTCTTTCTTTAGGCCATATTCTTGCTTCTATTTTCTCTTCAATTCTTCTCTCTGTCCTCCCCTCTCTTCGCTCTCTTTTTTCTCTCTCTCCATCTAACTCACTCACTCACTCTCACTCTCTCTCTCTCTCTCTCTCTCTCTCTCTCCTCTCTCTCTCTCTCTCTCTCTCTCTCTCTCTCTCTATCTATCTATCTATATCTATCTATCTATCTATATATCTATCTCTCTCTCTCTCTCTCCTCTTCTTCTCTCCCTCTCACTCTCTCTCTCTTTCCCTCTCTCTCTCTCTCTCTATCTAATTATCTTTCTTCCTCTCTCTCACTGTTTTTTTCCGTCTCCCATTCCGACCCTCCCCCCATTCTCTCTCTCTCTCTGTCTCTCTCACATACCCACTCACACACTCCCTCACTCACACACTCACTCACTCACTCACTCATGCACGCACGCACTCACTCACTCACTCAAACGCACGCACGCACGCAACCCCGCCTCTCTCTCTCTCTCTCACACACTCTCTCTCCTCCCTCACTCACTCACTCCCTCACTCTCACTCACTCACTCACTCACTCACTCACTCACTCCCTCACTCACGCACTCACTCAAACAAACGCACGCACGCACCCCGCCGTCAGAGTGGCACTGGCCATTCCATCCTTCAACCACGATCGAACGAGAGCCCAGAGTGCCAAAGGAATATTGTCTGCCCGCGGAATGGTGGCACTCCCTCGGCCAGTGCCTCTTGGCTGGATGGGAAGGGATAAATTCGAATTTCTCTCGATCCGGGGGAAGAAAGTGCCATGTTAGCTGGAGGCATTCGACGGAAGGAAAGGGATAAGTAAGTGAATAAATAAGCGAAGATAGGAGGAGGGGGAGGAGAAGGAGGAGGGATAGGAGGGATAGGAGGAGGAGGGAGGAAAGAGGAGGAAGAGGAGTAGAAGGAGGAGGAATGATAATGATTATAATAATAATCATGATAATAATAATAATAGTAATAATAGTAATAGTAATGATAATGATAATAATGATAATAACAATAATAACATAAACGATAAAAAATAATAACAATAATAATAATAATAATAACAATGATAATAATGATAATAATAATGATAATAAATAATAATGATGATGATAATAATGATAATAACAATAATGATAATAATGATAGAAAAATATTGGAGGATGAGGAAGACGAAGAGAAAAAAAGAAGGAGGAGGAGAAATAATAATAATAATGATAATGATTATGAAAATAATGATAATATTAATATTGATAATAATAATAATGATAATAATGATAATAATAATAATGATAATATAATAATAATAATGATAATGATAATAATGATAATAGTAATGATAACAGTAATAATAAACAATAACAATAATACTAATGATAATAATGATAATAATAACAATAATGATAATAATGATAAGAATAATAATGACAATAATAAGAGGAAGAAGAATAAGGAGAGGAAGGAGGAGGAAGAGAAAAAAGAGGAGGAGGGGAAAGAGAGGGGGAAATAGGGGAAGAGAAAGGAAGAGAGGGTACAGGAAGAAAGAAAGGGAAGAAAAGGAAGAAGAAGAGGAGGATGAAGGAAAGGATGAGAGGAAAGGGAGATAAAGAAAATTAAGGGTCAGAAGGGGAGGAACAATAGAAGGAGAGGAAAGGAGGAAGAACAGAGGAGGAAGAAAGAATTGAGGGATGAGAATAGGAAAGGAGAGGAGGAGAAGAGAGTTAATAATAAGATAAAAAGAGATAGAGAGGAAAAGAGGAAAGGAGAAGGAGATAAAAGGAAGAGAAACAGAGGAGGAAGCCAACAAGAAGACAGAAGAGAGAGGAGAAGAGGAGGAACGCAGGAGGAACAGGAAGAGAGGCAGAGGAAGAGGTTTAGGAGGAGAATGAAACACTGGAAATGCATAGGGGACTGAGGGGAGGAGGAGGGGAAGGAGGGGGAGGAAGAGGAGAGAGAGGGAGGAGGATGGGGAGAGAGAGGGTAGGGAGGAAGGGGAGGGAGAAGAGGGAGAATTAGGAGGAGGAGGAGAGCTGAATAAGAGCACGGGGAGGAGGAACAGGGGAGGAGACGGAGGGGGAGAAAGGGGGGAGATGAGGGGAGAGGGTGAGGCAAGGGTCACCGAGGACGAATGCACAAGTTGCAACTCGAGGCTCGGGGATTGAGGGCAGAAGGAGGAGGAGGAGGAGAAGAGGAGGATGAGGAGGATGAGGAGGAGGCGGAGGAGGAAGAGGAGAGGAGGAGGAAGGAGGAGAAAGGGGAGGAGGAGGAGGAGGGGGAGGAGGAGGAGGAGGAGGGGAAGAGAGAAGAAGAAGATGAGTTGGGGGAGGAGGAGAAAGAAAAAAGGAGGAGGAGGAGGAGGAGAAAGAGGAGGAGGAGGGGTAGAGGAGGAAGAAGAGGAGAAAGAAAAAAGAAGTAGGAGGAGGAAAGAGTATAGATGGAACAATAACGGAGAAGATAAAGTAAGAAATAAGTACGATGGATAATTATGGACAAACCAAGATTTGTTAAGAGAAGACAAATTATACAAACTCCATTCCCCCCCACTTTCCTCCCCTCCCCCCCCCATAAAGAGAAAACTAATGTAGAGTCAATGTAGAAGTAAAATACATAATATACAGTAGAAGAGGAGAATATTCGGAAAACAGAGAGCGGAACGAAGAAAAAAAAGTTAAGTAAGAAGGGCGCCTTCCCCCCTCCCCCCCCCCCAAGGGAAACGAAGGGGGGGAAGTGGAGGGGGGGAGAACAGGCCGGATGGGGTCGAGGCCGTAGTTCCCCGACCTCGACCTTGCCATTAAAGTAGGTGTACTGTGTGGAATCACGCAGGTATACTCACTCATACACTCGCAACTGCACAACTTAATACACATAGATGCTTTCTCAAATGCACACACAACACAAACAGACGTAAACATATCATAATATATATATTAATATATATCACTATATATATATTATATATATAATTATATATATATATATCAATAGTGTGTATCATATATATATATATATATATATATATATAATATATATATATATATATATACTATATAGTATATATATAATATAATAATATATATATATACACACACACACACACACACCACACAACACACAACACACACACACACGGCCACACACACACACACACACACACACACACACACACACACACACATATATACTATATATATATATATCATATATATCAATATATATAATAATAGATATATATATTATATAACATATATATATAATAATTATATATATAACAAATATTATATGTAATATTAGATATCTAATATATATAATATTATAATATTATATATATATATATATATAATATATACAATATAATTATAGTAAGTATAATCGGTGTAGTAAAAATATATAATATATATATATATAAATATATATATTATATAATATATATATATAATATAATATATATATATATAATATTTTATAATATATATATATATATAATACATGCACACACACATAATAAAGATGGACAGATAGACCGATAGACAGAGACAGACGGCACCAGGGAAAAAGAGAAAACCGCCCTCATTACAAGGGGAGCAAGGTGCATATCTGCTAAACAAAAACCTTAAATATCCGGTTTTTTGAGTTACGAAACAGCTCAGAGGGAAAACCGATCCATGAGTTTTGAATTTAGAGGAGAGGGCTGGGGGGGGGGGGGTGGAAGGGAGGGGAGGAGAGGGAGGCGGAGAGGAGGGAGGGGGGAGGAGAAAAAAGAGGGTTCTGAACAAAAGAGGAGAAGAGGGTAGGGGGGTAGGTAGGTAGGTAGAGAGAGAGAGAGAGAGAGAGAGAGAGAGAGAGAGAGAGAGAGAGAGAGAGAGAGAGAGAGAGAGAGGAGAGAGAGAGAGAGAGAGAGAGAGAGAGAAAGAGAGAGAAAAAGAGAGAGAGAAGAAAAAAACAGAAAGAGAGTGGAGGAGAGAGAGAAAGCGAGAGAGAGAGAGAGAGAAAGCGAGAGAGAGAGAGAAAGAG